CTGCTGAATATAAGCTTCACCTATTGTATATATTTGTATTGATCATATAGATTCCCTCATATTCTTTGCCATACGTACCAAGGTTGGCAGGTGGGTTAGCGCATTTGAAAACAACATGAGTAAAAGTGCATTTACAAAAAAAAGTCGAAGGCCTTAAAGTCCGCCAATACACTAGAACTCCGCCGCTCCACCGGGCGGACCCTTTCCTGGTTCAAAACCCTTTTAAAATATAGAACGCCAGTGTAGACTTAATTGTCTATTAATTTTCAATTATAAGATTTTTTTCAGTTTTCAAAATGATTCCTGAGAACAGGTAATGGATTTACATTATAACATTTATATCTACTTACATAATTATAATACTATTTAATTAAATCAATCGGAAGAAACTTGAATTGACTGTTTCTACGGCATCTTTTCAGTAATTGAATCATGTAACATTTTGTTCAATTAGAGTTGACTAAATTAGGTACAAATACTATTTCAATTCTTTGGTAAAGCTATGAAATGAAGACAATACTTACCTTGATTCAAGATTGAACAAAAACTAAAAGACATAAAATAACAGTCGAAGTTCGAAACAGATCCACTACGTCATATCGTCTCGTGGGTGTCCTAAGAGGCGTCAGAAGAAAACTGAAACAGGAGATGGGTAAAAGCATCTTCCTGATAACATTTATCCTACACTACCTTCGTTTGTATCTACTGGACAACATGGGCTTATCAAAGGGTGTTCTACAATAACCAACTCAATTGTTTTTACTAAATATGTTCGTAACAATATGGATAGTGGCTCACAGGTATACGTAATTTACACGGACACTGAGAAAGTCTTCGAACTTGTAGAGGTAATCTATTCAGATGGATGAAGTCAGACTTATGTAATCGTTCTCAGGCAGTTGTAGTTGGTGGATTATGCTCCGATCTTCTTTCAATTCCATCTGGTGCACCACAAGGCTCAATATTAGGAACGTTGCTCTACATTACTTATTAAAACGATATCGGTACTTGCTTACATTATGCAAAATACTTAATGTACGCGGATGACACAAAAACATACATGAGGATTAAAAATTATGCTAATTGTATCAATCTTCAATCTTATCTGATTTACCATTGATAACGACTTTTTGAATTGTGTTATTTAAATATGAAATAATAAGTCTAAGCGCAATATTTTTGACACCGTAATGTTGTAGTTTGCTGATTAATATCTCATGATGAACGCAATCGAAAGCCTTTGAAAGATCACATAAGATACCTAAGGCATCTTGTGAATTCTCACAGGCATTAAAAATATATTTCATAAGCTTCACACCTGCGTCAGCCGTCGAGAGACACCTTGTGAAACCAAATTGATTTATATGGAATAATTTATTTTTTTAAAAAATCAAACAATTGACCTAAAGTTATCTTTTCAAAAATTTTACCAAGAGTTGGTAGTACAGAAATAGGTCTAAAATTAGGGGGGTTCAATGTACTACCAGATTAAAACAATGGTATTACTTTACTATGTTTTAAAGTTAGGAACCACACCAGATTCGATATTAGTATTAAAAAATAGCAAGATGAGGTGAAATTAAATCTATTATGTTAGGTAGATGTAGTAAAAGGAGATTTAATTTCCTATATATGTATTTATTATGTATTCATATATACATATATATATATATATATATATATATATATATATATATATATATATATATATATATATATAATCGCTTCAGCCTTATCCGAGAAAATTGGTGAACATACATACAAACATATACGTGAAATATGGAGCCTCATTTTTTTAGGTTAGTTTTACATAAGAACCTTTTTTGAAACGAAAAATAATACTTACATTGTTAAAATACGTTATATTACAATATAAAAAATCATCTCAACCAAAAACACGGCAGTAATAAATTGAAGGGAGGAGAACAATGCGGTATTCAATAATTGTTTAGACCGTTTTATTTCCGTAATTGGCTCCTCAGATTTATGACCGGCATTCCTGCAGGTTTTGTTCTTAAATTATTAAATTCAATCCCAAAAATGGTAATTTTGAGACGGCACCCAATCACTTTTGACTTGAAGAATCGGCCGATGGTGCCAGGTGTCACGCGTATTGCGGGGAGGGGGCAGTGGAAGGGAGCTTCCCATCGTTTTGGCGCTATCGGACGAGAGAGTAGTTCGCAGTAGCTCGCTGGCAGCGGTACGGATAATCCGCGTATCTCGGTTATCGCTGCAGAAGTTTCCGGTTTTTTTGGATTAGGGTCTAGAATTTTGGAATTTGTGCGCGTTACTTCGCTATTGGATTGTGATTTCGTGAAAACCGCCTCGTGATTGCATGTTGAAGTGTATTTTGCAATATTTAACTTGCTCGTGCGATGTGGAATTCGCGCGCGCGCCTATCAGAGATACGGTTTAGAATTTGGACAGCGCATTCCTTTTTTTGAGGGCGTCGCCGGTTGACTATTTTGGAGATCATTGTAATTGTGCCGTCGCGTTAAGTGCCCTTTTTTGTGTGTTGACTGTTTTGTTAGTTTTACGTGTCAACGAGGAGTATTTTGAATTCTTATCGCGGCGTAGTATTTGATATCGAACGAAGGAATTTAGTTGTGTTTGTAACGCTGAACCGTGTGACTCATGAAGAGATCGCGTTAGTTCACTATTCGTAATTTGGTGATAAATGAATCCGGGACATTGAAAGTTGAACTTTCAACTACTGTCCGTTACTGTGTCGGGTATCACGTGTTCGATTCTACGACGAATGTGGAATTAGGCGAGTTTAAGTTAGTTAAATGTACAATGAAGTTAATTGTACGAAAGTATCCACTAAATTCCGATTGATGGTGGTACTACTGGTGTCGGTAAACAGCTTTTAAAAATGGTGATGACTTTTTAATCAATCAATTTAAAACGTTACAAATCTGTTTACAGAAGGAAAGGCCCATGTCAACAGCGAAATTTTATGGGCTGTTAATGAAAGAAGTTTGTCGGCACTGTAGCGCAGTGGCTAAGCATTTGGTCACGGCCCCAACGAACTTAGATGGAACAAGTGTTGAGTTTAGTTTATTAGACGATACGTGTCTTTTTGAATCGGATAAGTTTATCTCAAATGCGTGTAATGCTCTTCAGGCCGATTTGGATATGTTGACACAATGGTGTCATGACGTTGGCCTAGTGTTAAATGCCGATAAAACTAAAGTCATGATTATCAAATCCCCATAACCACGACTGCCTCCATCAACTAGGACCTTGCCAATATCCTACAATCGAAGTTATGGCCACACAAAAATACCTCGGTCTTATAATTGACTCAAAGTTTAACTGGAGCTACCACATTGAACATGTGTGTAATAAGTTGCGTCAGTTTGTAGCCAATATAAAAATCTTAAAAAATAGCATACCATTCAAAGTAAGACTGATTCTTTACAACTCTCTGGCTAAATTCTATATTCAGTATAGCTTGTCAAGTTATGCTCGGACGTACAAATCATATTTAAAACAGATCTAAGATCTTCAATTTCGAATTTTTAAACACATTTTATCCCCAAATATGCGTGTCCTAATTGGTGATGGTAAAAATGCGATTTTTAAACATTGTAAAATCTAACCAGTTTATCATCATCATAATCATCATTACAGCCTTTCATAACTCCACTGCTGAACATAGGCCTCCCCCAAGGAATGCCACAAAGCACGGTCCTGAGCCACCTGCATCCATCGACTTCCTGCATCTCTTACCAGGTCGTCACTCCATCTCGTGGGGGGTCGCCCTACACTTCGCCTACCGGTACGAGGCTGCCACTCAAGAACCTTTCTTCCCCATCGGTTGTCGGTTCTTCGAGCTATATGGCCGGCCCACTGCCACTTCAGCTTACTAATCCGTTGGGCTATGTCGGTTACTCTGGTTCTACTGCGGATATACTCATTTCTAAGTTTATCACGCAGAGAAACCCCGAGCATAGCCCTCTCCATAGCTCGCTGAACAACCTTGAGCTTCCTCATACGGCCAGCAGTGAAGGACCACGTCTCAGATCTGTAAGTCATCACTGGAAACACGCACTAGTTGTAAAATTTCGTTTTAAGGTTTTGAGGTATGTCTGACGAGAAGATGTGTCGTAGTTTCCCGAACGCTGCCCAGCCGAGTTGAATCCGTCTATTGACCTCTCGGTCGAAGTTGGACTTACCTAGTCGGACTATTTAGACATGGATATTAAACATGATCTTTGTTTTAGTTATATATTAGGTAGTGAAACACGAGCGGTGGTTTCAACAACTGGTTTATTAACCTACATGACGGTATTTGCATAAGTAACAATATAAACATACCCAACACCTCTGTACCTAATAATGCTTATAAATAGTTACAGGTTATAAAGTTTAATTCTAACAAATATTCTACCACAAGTCTTAATTAACATAAAATTTTGAAATAAGAGCTTAATTTAGTTTATATTATAGTACCTTGGTTGGCCACGACGAGGACGTAAATTACGTTTTAATATTGGTGGAGAAAGAGACGAGTTAATATTTTTTTCTTTTTTTCTCACTCGAAATCTGTTCATTATTTTCCGAACTAGTGGCCGGATGAGAGGCTGGACTAGAAATAGTACTGTCCGTCGTGGTCAGCGACTCTGGAACTGTAAGCACCGTACTTGGCGTAGGTTTTATACTATCTCTAGTTACATTTGTGTCTGTCGAAGTACAGGTCAATGGATATCTCTTTTTATGAGGAATCTTAGGGATTAACATTTGGTCAATGTGTCTTCTTGTACTACCACCCGCTGGCAGGTTAACAGCGTAGGAATTCGGACCAACTTGCTCACTGACCTGTCCTTCGACCCATTTATCACTTCTATTTGAATAATTTCGTATGTACACATGATCGCCTATACCGACGTTGCGTTGCGTGCCGCCAGTGCGCTCGACCTGTTCGAGCTGTTTGTTGCGCACCCGCTCCGCGGTGTCCGGCCGCAGCGCGTCGAGCCGACCGCGGAGCCTTCGACCTAGCAATGCAACTGCGGACGCAACGCCCGTCGCAGCATGTTCACAATTCCTATATTGGAACAGCATTTTACACAGTGCTTGTTTGATATTTGCCCCCTCGTGATAAGCTTTTTTAATACAGTTTTTAACTGTTTTAACGGCATTTTCAGCAGCTCCGTTGCTTTTTGGTCTATACGGGCTGGTGGGAAAATGTAAAATGCCATTTTATTGAAATATTTTGTCAATTCTAGCGATGTGAAAGGCGGACCGTTATCTGTTACTATTTGCAATGGCAAACCAAATCGTGCAAATAGCTCCCTTAATTTAGAGATAACAACTTTGGCAGAAGTACTGTACATATGAAAAACTATCCATTTGCTGTGCGCATCGATTATAATCAAATAATGTTTACTTGATTATAATCGACGATTAATGATTTGGTATAAATTTACCGTAGTAGTTTACAAGCCCTAAAAAGGCTTTCAACTGGTGAATATCTTGTGGGCGAGGTGCGTTAGTAATAGCTTTAATTTTTTTATCATCTGGGTGTAAGCCACTTTTATCAATTATGTGTCCCAAATAACAGACACTACTTTTAAAAAACTCACATTTCTATAATTTAATTCTTAAACCTACGGTCTATAACCGACGAAAAACTTCCCGCAAAATATTCAAATGGGTTTCTTCCGTGCCCGAACAACAAATATCGTCCAGGAATACAACAGTGTTAGGTACGCCCCTAACGACCTCCTCCATCAATTTTTGGAATTTTTCCGGTATACAGCTTAAACCATACGGGGTGCGGATATATTCGGACGTGCCTACGTGCGTGCTTATACTTGTACATGCCCGTGATTCCTCCGTTAAGGTCACCTGTTCGTACGCGTGTGACAAGTAAATTTTTGAAAATATAGTGCCACCACTTAAAACTACGTAAAGTTCCTCAATACGCGGTAGGGTTCACGTTTTAATTTGGGATTAATTGTTATTTTGTAATCGCCGCAAATTCGAATACTTCCGCACTTTTTTATGACCGGTACAATAGGTGTCCCGTATTCAGAATTTTCTACTCTAGCTATTGTGCCCTCATTAACGAGTCGCTCCAATTCCTGTTCGACTGGTTTCTTTAAGGACAATGGTAAGTTGCGTGCTTTATAAAAAATGGATTCGTTGTCTTTTAACTTTAACGTAAATCGCTTTGTACAGGTACCTAATCCCGGAGCAAAAACGTCAACAAATTCATTTTTTAAATTATGAATTATGCGTTTGGTATTATCACCTGTGAATTCATTCTTTACGTGGTTTAGTGTTATGTTTATGCTCTTAAGTTGTAAGCGGCGTAGCCAACCTCGGCCGAGTAGCGGAGGACCACCACCCGGTATTATGTATAATGGGAGTGCATCCGCCTCCCGTAGCTCGTTATCAGAGTTATAATAATGCGCGGACACAGTGATAAAACCTAACGGTTTGATCGAGTCACCGGTATAAGATCTCAACTTTAGATTGCAACTTGAAATTTCAAAGTCCCGAAAATATTTTTTAAAAAGATGTTCATTTATTGCTGATATTTTACTACCCGTATCGATTTGAAATACCAGTGACACATTTTGTACATAGAGTTGTATTACATACGATTTATCTTTAGCTCCGTCGACACACATGTTAAAGAAATCACTGTCTCCAGATTCGGAATCAATTTCCAAGAAAAACTGGTTACGTTTCTGCACTTTGCCTGACGAGCGATCACTACGCCAACTTTTACACATGGCCCGCAAATGGCCTTTAATACCGCACTCATCACAACTAAACTGCTTAAAACGACACCTATCCGCCGAATACGGCTGTCCACACCGCCAGCAGACTTGTTGTCGCAAATCCCGCACGCGGGCAGCGTCAGCAACCGCCTGCGCACCGATCCTGTGCACGCTGCCTGCGCCGAGCGGCCCCGTGCCGCCGCCGCCCGCCAACGCTACGCCGCTCGTCTCGGCGTGCCGCTCCGCAGCCTCCAACGCTAGCGCCAGCTCCACCGCTCGCTTATAGTCTAGTTCCTTTTCCGCAAAGAGACGACTTCTCATTTCGTCACTTCGGACTTCTGTACAAGAAGGGTATATATGTGGTCTATGGTGCTTAAGCCCTTTCGAAAACCAGCTTGTTCGGGAGGCTGGAAGTCGTCAAGTCTGCGCGCGAGACGATTCGTAATGACTGTCGAAAACAGCACGTAGACGCGGCTCAGAAGGGAAATCGGTCTGTAGTTCTTCAAGAGAGCGTTGTCACCTTTCTTAAAGAACAAGACCACCGCACTTCTGCTCCACGCCTCCGGTGTAATGCCACCATGGAGGACGGAATAAAAGAGCTTCTGAAGGACTTCAAGTACCGGTCTTCCACCCCCTTTCAGAAGCTCCGCTGTAATTCCATCCTCGCCTGGGGCCTTGCCGTTTTTAAGGTGCTGGAGAGCCATTCTAATCTCGCTCATACTGACGTCCGGGATATCTTCGGAATAGTGTCGGATAAGACTTCCTCTTTGATCGTTACTCACACTTGCGTGTGGCCCCAACGATGACGTGTACAGCTGCCCATAGAACCTCTCAATCTCATTCAAAATCTCAGGTGCCCCGGAATCGATTCTGCCACACTCGGTCTTCAGCTTTGACAGTTGGCTCTTTCTGGCAGACAGATCTCTGGCAAAGACTTTGGAGCCTTGATTCCGCTCGATCGCTTCTTCAATACAAGCTGTATTGAAGTTGCGTAAGTCCCGCCGCATGCATTTGGAGATCTGTCTGTTCAATTGCCTGTATGCTGTCAAATCTGTTGAAGAATGTAGCTTCATCTACCGTCTAACAGCCATGAGACTGAGAGTGTGGTTGGAGAGTTTTGTGTTTTTCTGCGGCGGGTCTTGCAGAACTTAGCTCCGACCGCATTGACAGTTTCCACGAGCTTGTCATTCACTGAAAACGGTTTTGTAACTCGAGCTGAAAGGTTTCCGGATTTTGGAACAGAGCACGAGAGGGTCGGATCGTTGATTTCATTAGACGAGACCTCTCCAACTTAACGTTTAGGTTCAGTGTGCCTCTAACCATTCGGTGATCGCTACCAGTTTTCACCCTCGCGATCATGGAGACATCACTGAACAGTTGTGGTCTGGTCGTCATAATGAAGTCAATCTCATTTTTGGTCGAACCGTCGTGGCTCGACCAGGTCCACTTCCTGTGGGGCCGCTTCTAGAAGAAAGAGTTCATCATAAAGAGTCCCTTTTTCTCCATGAAGTCGGCCAGCTGCTGGTCCCTTGGGTTCCGTTGCCCTATTCCAAATTTCCCTACTTTCAGCTCACCGCTCTCTCTTGTGCCTAGTTTTGCATTGAAGTCTCCCATTAACACCGTATATTTGGTTTTGGAGGAATGCATGGCTCTAGAGATATTCTTCATACATTTCCTCCACCTCCTCATCGGGGTGTGCTGAGGTTGGTGCGAAAACCTGTATAACCTTCATCGAATACCGTTTGGTGATTCTGAGTATAAGGTACGCAACCCTCGTCGACACACTCTCAGTCTTTACAACGTTGTTAACGAGAGACTTGTGGACGATAAATCCGACACCTCCATGGGACAGATGGTCGCCCTCCCGGTGATAGAGCAAATTGCCGGATTCGAGGATTTAGCGTGTCCTCCCCCTCTCTTCGGAATTCGGATAATCCCATAATATGCCAGCGTAATTTGTCTATCTCTTCTTCCAGCTCCACGATCTTCTCGTCAGTCCTCAGGGTGCGTGCGTTGTATGGTGCCAGGTCGAGTCGTCTTAGGTGGCAACCAAACCTCCACCGGAGATTCTTAGCACCCCCTGCCCCGCCGTTACCATGGTCGCCACCGTGGCCAGGAATAGCGGGGCCGCCGGGACTGGGGGCCGTCTTTTTCTTGCTCTAATCATTGGGGGGTATTTGCCATAGTTGCCACGCTTGGCGAGCGGGTTGGCAACCACAGTTTTTTATTGTACTTTTGCTGTTATCAGGAAGATTCTGCTGCCCATCTCCTGCCTGTTTCCCTATGTCACCTTTTACGACACCCACGGGAAGATATGGGGTAGTGGATATTCTTAACACGGCATACCAGTTTATGAACAAATTAAATTCATGTTATTAAAACAATATTTATTTTGCGATAGTATAAAGTCATACATAGAACAACCTGTACGTACGCGCGCTATGATACAAAACCGGCTCCGGTACATCACTGCTAATAATGTGTACAGGCAGCGTAGGGCCGCTTATCAGGTACCGCATTTAATAAATAACTTACCTTTCGATTTACGCAAAAAATATCACAACAAAACATGAAAACTAAACTCAAAAGCTTTTTTCTATCTTAATTATAATTAGCTACTATACACACTTACTTAACAATAACGTACCTACCTGCCTAGTTCTTACTTTTACCTTTCTAATACTGACTTTAACCAAGTTGTTAACTTACCTTCTTAGTCTTTATAATCTTACTATACTTACTACCTACTCAGATACCTAACTACTTACTTAGACTGTGTTTTGTACATACAAGTCAAACCTCCGTGGTTTTTAAATGTTTTTAGATTAGACCTATATCTGTATTTTTTTTGATTTGATAAATAAATAAAAAAATACGGTCCACAACTAATTATTTCGGGTCTGGATGTATGTCCTTGTGCAATTTATGTTTGTATATTTAAAGTAAGAACATAAAACCTAGAATTAAAATTGGAAAGACTATAAGCGTCAGTAGCCTAATGGCAGGGCGCGGACCGCGAACTCGAAAGGTCGTGGGTTCGAATCCGCCATTCGACTACTGTCGTAAACCACTTCTAATACAAGCATTTTAAGCTTACCAGAAGTGGTTAAAGGGAATATTAGAAATGTTTAATAGCATTACTCGTATTTAAAAAAAATTAATTAACTAAACACTTTTATGTATTCTTAGGTGAACTTAACAACCTAGTACTTTTCAGTCTAAAATAAGTAAACTGATTTTCTTCTATTTTGGTCCATCTAGGGTAAGGGCCTGTTGTTTGATCAGCATGACTTAACGGGTTTCCTACTACTATAAATATGACATAAATTGTAATAATTTAGTTAACCGTGCAAACATGTAGCAAACCTTTAAAATCGTCTGAAATGATGACGTTGCTGCATCATCTTCTTGGCGTATTGTTGTTAATGACCATTGAAATGTCCAACAATGTTCTATTTTTTTAACCTAAAATGCAATTTCAAGAACTTAAGAGAATCCATAATACCATTTCATCCGGTAAGTAAGTATCGTTAAAGATATTAAGAAGGACCAAGACACCATTAGAATAGAATAATTTTTATTCAATATTGATTACAAGTAATTCT